TTCGTATACTAACTTTTACGAACTACCAATTTTTTATTAATTTCAATAACTAACGTTTTTGGCTCCACAAATTTATACTGAATTTTCTACTAACATATCTGTTTGTTGCTAATTTTATTATTTTATAATACTTTCTTTAATTTTTCTTTTTCTAAATATCAATTAGATCTAAATGAAATCAATCTTAAAAACACTTAATGAGAAATATAACTTAAACTACAATGAAACGTTTAATAGTGCAAAAAACATTAAAATTCTACTTAAATTAATTCCTGAAATCTTAAAATTACTTGCTCTGAATTATTGACCATCCTTTAACCAGGTAATAAGGTGGTTAAGTATCCTACATAAATCTCGATGATCTAAGTTGAGTTTGATGATATCCGGCAAAGAAATCATGGACAATCGATGAGTTCATGCCAATAATAGATTAAATGATGTATGTAATGTAATCCAGCGGCAAATTAATAATCCATATTAACTCATTTTAAATTTATCAATCAGAAAAAATTGCAAAGGATAAAGGCTGCGAAAGATTTCTTTAATAAAAAGGATAGTTGAATTATGAGTTATGGAAAACGGGATCTGTTAAAAATTCTGGCAAATCGTGCATATTATTCACCGGAAGTGAGTGAAACTGAAGATGAAGGTTCAAAATCAGTCATTAATGTTTATGATCTATCGTGGCGCTCAGAAGAGGTTACTTATTTTATTTTGATAATTTATTTTGCTATAAATTTTCACTAATTCCGATTTTACTTATTTTCACTAATTCTGATTTTACTTATTTTTACATTTTCCGATTTTATTTATTTTTACATTTTAGTTGAGACTTTTATTAAGAAATGTTCTCGATAAATATGTAAGAGTGGGACAAACGGCGCAGCAATTGCGACCTCAGAACTATGACAACGAGATACAATGCTATGATAAAGTACCATTGGATGATGCTCCCGATTGGTCATATGTTGATCAACCAGATATGGTATATGACACAGAATATACAGACAATTTAAATATTGATGGTGAAGATTTAGACGCAATTTTGGAAGATAAAGCGGATAAATCTGAAAGTTTTATGCAAGAAGATTAATTGTTGGAATTTCAGAATTCTATTTTATTACTAATTTACTCTTTTTTTTTTATTTTTGTGTATTATAGTATGTTTTATTACATATCTGAATTAATTTTACTCTTTTTTTAGTTTTGCGTATTATATATTATATTTTATAGCATATATAAATTTATTTTACTCTATTTTTTTAGTTTTGCGTATTATAATATATTTTATAGTATATCTGAATTTATAAATTGAATTGTAATTGAATTATATCTGATTTATATCTGATTTATATAATAAATTTAGTTGATTTATGTCTAATTAATAGTGTCGAATTTAGTAGTATTTGTTGATTTATATCCGATTTATATGTGATTTCTTATTCTGAATTATATCTGAGTGGCAACCACTCAGAACCCAAACAGAATATTGCCTTTTTAAAAAATCGGTCAAAATTGAGTTATAAATCAGATTAAAATCAGATGATCGATTTCTATCTGATTTGGACAATTTCGACTAGTGAATGTAACACATTATAAGCCATAGTGATATAGTGTGACAAATCCAAATTGTTAAATTCACGTAACTTGAATCCCTGACATCAGTAAATTATATTACTGCGGCTAATACATAATTTCTGTAATATTGCCCAGACACTTGTAACTACTAGTACAAGAGTTAACATCACCTCTTGAAGAGTACGAAATACCAGGAATATCATATTTAATAACGGATTATAATAATGGGAATAAAGAGCGTCTGAGCTTTCCTCGATTGTGTTTATTGTTTATTGTTAAGATACCCAAAGGGTACGTAGTAGAAAAACTGCAGACATCAGTAACCATTACTCAGGACTGTTGAGCAATTGAGAAAAATAAAAAGGGTAAAGTAATTGAGCGAAATTGCAGAGAAATGAGTATGTATATAGTTTAGCGTAGAAATTTCAGCGCACAATATATTATGTATCACATGTAAAGTCCTGAGCCTTTATAATTATTTTACTTCAGTCGTATTTCTATCTCCTGTATATTGGGTGCACTGCGAAACATTGTATTTATTTGGGCGTAGCCCAGTCTCTGACTGAATTGTTTTAATAAAAATCTTTCTTGCCATATTTCACTCACAGACTGTGAGGAAAAGCACGTAATTTATTTTATTTGAATGGTATGTAAGGTCTTTTCAAAATGGAATAAGGAAGGATGTTTCTGTAACTATTATTGTAATTTACGGTTACCTACTGACTTTTTTCTGGGTATGTATCTCAATATTAACGATACGATAGATATAATAAGAAGATACATGTCAATACAAAGGAAAACAGGTAATTATTATTTCGTTATAATACAAATTAGCCATCTCATCCATCTTCATCTTGTACTTGTAAATAGTTGAGCTATTCACGAACATCCACACATGCTTAGATTTTATCATGAACTCTGTTTTCCAAACCATGACAAATATGTATCGTTGAAGACAAATAGAAGGGGATGCAGAAAAGTCTGATACGAGTCAGTCATACACTATTTATGGAGTAGAAGTTATTCAGTGTTGTATAATCCCCTCTCGATTTGTTTTATACAGCCGACTTCACCTGATAACGATTTTTTATTCACAGGTTAACAAGAAATGTTAAGTGAGGTGATTCAAAGGCGTTCATATTCTTTACTCATGTTTTCTATGCCAATTAACCTATAAAATGAGGGTAACTACTTCAAATGGGAGAGTGAGATAAAAGTCTATTTCGAAAACAGAATCAAGAATTGCTCGTGTCATAGTGAAAGTCACGCACTATGTGATAAACTATGTTTTTCAGAAAGCATGGAGAAGTGGTCACAATGTCTGAATAACAGGATTGTGTAATATACACTTTTAGCGCCATTCAGGTAAATTTCTCACATATACTAGGCACATAACTACAAACACAAAAATAAATGAATTAGTGACATAATAATTTTTGTAATTGAAAACGAGTCGATTGATCTATACAAAATTAGTCTTTAGACCTTCCAAAGAAAGTAAATATTAGGACCATAAGTAATACCTGTTCACATATAATAGGATAAATTCTGTTATCATCAAAGTCAAATTGGAACGGATATGTATTGCGTTTGTACTGTAGAAGATATATTACTTCCTTCAGAATTAAGAACACATTACAAAGTAATGCCCTGAGCGTCTTGCCGCTCAATCACGCCATTAACAGAGGAGGTTTTACGTAGTACCTTTCAGGTAGGAACTTAGGTTTATAGGGCATTTCCTAAGACTATTGAGCGTGGTTGAGCGGCAAGACATTCAGTCTAAATAATATTTTGGTCATATGATATCGATACCTATGGGTCCCATCTCATGTGATTTTTGCAGTATTTCTGATTGAAGAATATCAATGGATATGTGGCATAGTAACACATGATTGGTTTGTTCACTGTCTCTTCACATGACGAATAAAGAATATATACTGGACATGCGGTAATTGTTTCCTAGAAAGAGTTGAAATTATTAGTACAGCTTCCTATGATATTTTTGTAGACTAGGCATAGCATGTTCCGTAAATGTGTCCTGTGCCCATGTAAGATTTTCTTTTTTATTTGATAGAGAAATCAATGTGAAAAATATGTTATACATAAAAATACAAATGAAATAACTCTTAATATTAGCGACTAAACAGGAAGATTTGTTAAAATTTCTTGGACACACTGTTATCCTGTCAACGATTAAAGCCAACTGAAAAACTTTAACGCTTTAACAGGTTAACTGGAGTTTAACTTAATAGAAGAGTCTTAAGTTGATCATAAATAATCACGTGAAATAACGTTGGATGTTCAATTAAAGAAAATAGGTTTTTATTAAAATAATGTAAGATTTTCGATACGACAAAAAATATAGATAATCTCTTGGTTGCTAAATTAACTATCTTGAATTATACTACTGGGAATAATACTCTTTTCGTATAACTCGAAAACTACAATACAATTCTTAACTAACTAACTGACTAACTGACTAACTGACTAACTGACTTCCCCTACTTGGTAAAATCCTATCACTATTTATAATAAAATAAAAATCAAGAATGTTTGATAAAATAAATAAATCAAATGTAATAAATAAATAAAATAAATAAAATAAAATAAATAAATAAGATAAAATAAATATATCAAATAAATAAAATATAACAAATAAAATAAATAAAATTAATAAAATAAATAAATCAAATATATCAAATTTATCAAATTTATCAGATTTATCAAATAAATCAAGAAAATCAAGAAAATCGAAAAAATCAAGGGATCTACGAAATGATCTACAAAATTGATCTACATAAAATTACTGCGCCACATTTCTATTTTAACAACACATATCCAACTAACAATCGAATCAATTAAAAACTTACTATTATTGTAATGAAAACAGTATCTTCGTTCACCTCTTAAACTGGAACTACCTTGCTACTATGTAGGAAATCCTGCAGAAATTCGCTCCACCATGAACACCTTATTCTTAAACCACATCTTTTTTCATTTTTTACCATTCATGCACAAGATCAATTGCTGTAAATAAATAATAGATGAAATGCATACAAAAAATCACTATTTCTGATATCTGTTTCCTGAAGAGTAGTGTATCACACTTCTTGAAGAGATGAACGTAGTGGAAAATTAGTCCATGGACCTTCAAAGAAGTGAAGGATGGTCGATTACTTTTTTGTTATTCTTGCTTCTCTTGGGAATAGGTTAAATGTGGATGGTCATTAGATAGTGGTATAAGTTGTAAACGTAGTCTTAGCGACTTAAAATCTCTTGAACACATTTTTTTGGAAGACAATTATGAATAACTCCTTCACCTAGTTAGGTTGAATGAAAAATAGTATAATTTTTTGTATCTAAATATTATGTGAAGCGCAGAAGTTAGGGCAGTGACAGATATTACCTAATATTCTAGGGGAGGGGGGGTAATTGAAAATCTTAGGTTACATATATACTATATAAGGAAATTACATATATAATATATCTTACCTGGAGAAGGGGGGGTAAGCTCTTATAATAAACTGATATTAGGTAATATCTGTCATTGCCCTTAATAAACACAATAATTTCATTTTAACCTTTGATAAAATGAATGACATGTCATCTTTTCATAATATACTAACAGATAACTAGATTTTTAAGTTTCCGAATGCACTGATTTTCATTTTTCTTTGCCGAATCTCGTTACCAAATGATTTTAGTATTAACTCATAGAATACTCAACTCTCAATCTATCTGTTTTAAACTGTGTTTTGTGGAATCGCCTATAAATGTGTAATTGATGAAGAAAAAAATAGGAATCCAATGGATCACGAGATTGTACAAATTAACGTATAGCATGACACCATTTCTCATACATATGTGTACTATGCGTGTAATATTTATTAATACAATGATAACATAAACTAATACATCATTTCATTAAATTAATATATCAATAGTTTGGATTAACTGGTCCATCCCAATTACCATAAAGGTTATATTTGCCAGTCTCTGTTAAATCCAATGCTTGTTCATCATTATCACTATAAATATCATCATTATTGTTGTTATCTTCAGCTAATTGAATAAAACGGAACGATTAAAACCGTGAAGGTCAGTAAAACACACCATCGAAAAAATTATATTTACCAATGATCTTCTCGCTCTCATCGTTATTATCATTGTTGCGGGTGAGAACATTGTGGTAGTCAATACCTGATTTCAATGAAAGGGAAAAAGTCAAATCGTGGAGATGATTTAGTTCAGTCTTAGGAACGAGGAAAATTATGAAAGATGGAATTTATGGCAAGACTAGGGTTCCGATCGGTTTCGGTAATTACTGAACCGAACCGATCGGTTTTCGGTTTTCGGTCGGTAATTACATCAAAAATTACCGACCGAACACTTCGGTAATTTACCGATCGGTTCGGTAATTTCGGTTTTCGGTATCGGTTTTATCATTTCTCGAACCGATTTACCGATCTAACTATTTATTTCGTGATTGGCCAACTGATAATCTTTTTTTACTGTATCACGAAATTTTTTTTTTTATTTTTTTATTTCTTCTGATTATAAACTTGTCAGTTTACTCAGTTGTCATTTCTTACTACCTTTGTTAATAAATAAATAAACATTTCTTTTTAAAATGAGTGAAAATTTAGCATTAGATCTTGAACAGCCTAATGATTTAGGTAATGAGAGGGAAAATGAAAGAAATATTGAAGAACAACAAAACGAAAGTGATAATGAAGAAGAAAAAGATGTAGATGAAAAAAGTAGTAGTTCCAAACACAGCTGGGTTTGGAACCATTTTACTTATGACAATACTGTAAAGAAAGCTCGGTGTAATCATTGTAAAACTCTCATTTCTAATAATAAGGGTAGTACTAGTGGCATGTCAAGTCATGTGAGATCCAAATATAGATTATTAATAGATGAAAATGATAATTCAAATAAAAATAAAAAACAAATTACATTGCAAGAATCCTTTCAGAATTCTGCTGAAATTATGGTAAATCACTAAATCTAATTATTAAAATTCAAAATCTTATAATTAATAAATTAATATTTGATTTATTTAATTATTTAAGCTATATAATGAAGATAATTTCCGAAAATTACTTATACGTTATGTAGTAATGGGGGATCACTCTTTTCTTAGTATTGAATCTAAAGATTTTCACAACTTAATTCATCTTTTACGAAAAGATGCATCAATCCCATCAGCAGATATTATCAAAAAGGAAATTATAAATACTTTTAATAATGGTATAAAAGAAATTCGTAAGGTTTTGCAGGTATATAAATGGGTTTTTTTATTTTTATTTTTATAAATTTTTATAAATAATTAAAATAGAAAATTTAATTTTTATAGGAAGTAAGTGGTAAAATATCTTTCACAATTGATGCTTGGACATCATCAAATTCAATATCTTTTCTAGGTATTACTGCCCATTGGATTTCAGATGAATGGGAATTGAAAAATATTTTGTTAGATTTTGTTAAACTTGAAGGGTCACATTCAGGAAAGAATATTAAGGAATTTTTTCTCAAAAGCCTTAAAGATTTTGGAATTATGACTAAGGTTAGTTTTTATAAATAATTAATTTAAATGATTTTGTAAAGTTATAACAGAATAATTAAATAAATACTTTTTTATAGATACTTGGTATTACAACTGATAATGCCAGTAACAATAATACCTTTCTTGAAGAAGTTTCAAATGAACTTGCAGAAAAAAATATAGAATTTGATAATGTTAACNGGTATTACAACTGATAATGCCAGTAACAATAATACCTTTCTTGAAGAAGTTTCAAATGAACTTGCAGAAAAAAATATAGAATTTGATAATGTTAACCAACATGTCCGTTGTTTGGCCCATATAATCAATCTTGCTGCTCAAGAAGCACTTAAATCACTTAAAGCAACTGTGAATACAAGTGAGGATGAATTATTAAACCAACATGAAAATATTCAAAATAATAATAATCAAGTTGGAGTGGTTGGAAGTATTTTATGCAAGGTAAATAATTTTTTATTTAATTCTTAATATTATTTGATAACTTAATTAATAATATTTAATAATATTTAAATAAATTATAAATATAGCTTCGTACTCTTATTTGTAAAATAAGAGCTTCTCCACAACAAAGAGAAAAATTTAGTGCTCAATGTAAAGTTGCAGATATTCCTGATAAAATGGTCATATTAGATGTGAGGACTAGGTGGAATTCTACTTTTGATATGTTGGTTAGAGCAAGAGAATTAAAAGAAGTAAGATTATTCATTATTATACTCAAATTTTTATTTATTATAATAAAAACAAGAATTAAATTAATCTATTAATTATTACTATAGCCATTAAATACATTAAGTAATAGTGATATAAATCTTCGTTCTTTTACACTTAATGAAAAAGAATGGGAATGCCTTGCAGAAATTGAACTAATGTTAAAGGTAAATTATAATTTATAAATTTAAAAAACTGAAGGTATTTTTAATATAACATTTATTTATAATTTATAACTTATAATTAGGGTTTTTCTAAAGCAACAAAGCAAATATGTGCTGAAACTTATCCAACAATAGCTTATGTAATACCATATTATAATATTTTGTTAAGTAGATTAGAAGATTTTCTGGATTCACCTGGATGTTGCAAAGATGGAAAAGTGAGTTTAAACTTTAGATTATATTTGATTTTTAAATTCTTATATTAATTATATTTTTATATATATAGGAAGCAGCAAGCAATGCAATTAGGAAACTGCTAGAATACTATGATAAAACTGATACATCTATATATACTATTTCCTTAGGTAAGTTTTTAATTGTAAATTATTTAAGTATGAATTTAATTTTAAAATTATAATATTTTTATTTTTAATAGTTCTAGATCCACGACTTAAAATTCAATACATGAAAGATCAAAAATGGGATAATCGATGGATTGAATCAGCAAGGAAAAAAGTATTAATTTAATTTTTTTTTTTTGTATTTTAAATTTTATTTTATTTTCATTATACTTTTTATTTCAATAGGTGCTTGAAATTTATAAGGGAAAATATGCACCAATAGAAATTAACAACATTAACAATGAATATGATTCATCTGATGAGGATCTTATCACTCATATTTCCAAACGATGACGTGTTGAAAAATCAAATGAATTTGAAACATTTATCAAAGGTGATCGTGCACCAGCTCTTAGTGATACATTAAATTGGTGGAAGGTAAAAATATTTTAAACACTATCATTTGTTTATTTAAAATTAGAATATTATTATATTTTAATTTTATTTAAAATTAGAATATTATTATATTTTAATTTTATTAATATTTAATAGCGACACAAAGAAGAGTTTCCAAACCTAGCAAATATGGCAAAGGATTATTTAGGAATCCCAGGTATATCTTTCTGTTCTATTTTATTATCATTAAGTATTATTTTTAATTAATTTTTCTTTATATTTTAGCCACAAGTGTACCTTCGGAAAGAGTATTTTCAAGTGCTGCAGATGTAGTAACATCAGATAGAGCACGTCTTGCTCCAGAAACAATACGTGCTATTATGTGTTTAAAACATTGGTATCGTTCAGGTATTTTAGAATAATAGTATAGGTCTATAGGTGAATCTTTTTAAAAAGATTATATATGTTAATATGTATTAAAGAATTAAGATTTTATAATAAAATTTACATAGGTTTATTATTAAAGGTGATATACGGTATATAAATATATAGTTTTTATAGTTTTTGTAATAAAATAAACATAAATAGTAAATTTCGGTAAATCGGCATCGGTAATCGGTAATTACCGACCGGTTTCGGTTATACAGTTTACCGATATCGAAAATTCGGTAAATTACCGATTACCGATACCGAAATTCGGTTTCGGTTTCGGTATGACTCAAACCGAAACCGAACCGTGCCGATCGGAACCCTAGGCAAGACAGTCAGTTTGCAGTGGAACTGGCTTTGCCCAAATTTCTGTTCACGTTAATTTGATAATCTGACTTACCATTCATAGCATTTAGTTCATACCTGCGTACTCAAGAGCATAGTGTATTTTTAATTCATCCGCATAATTATAAAATTTGCTACACATGGAGCACTAATTTGGTACACCTAAGTTGAATTGATCATCATTAACATGGTTCATTATAATAGTTTTACTAAGGTAGAAGATGTTTACCTTGAACAATAATATTGATTTCAGATTCATCTATTTCTTTAAAACAATCACAATCTCTAACGTAGCATCCTGGTACAAGTTCACTCCTCCTGTCAAACTCTCAACGAATGCATAATTAAGTCTTGGGTCATCTTAGGTACTCCTTGTACTGCCCATAGTCTAATACTGGACGCACTAATAATATCTGGAGGAAATGAATCTTATTCTTCTTTAAGAATTTTTCTTAATGTCATAAACATCATTTTTTTCTCTTTTGAATGTGACCTTGAAAAAGCTTTTAGTGCCAAGTCCCATTGAGAGAATAAATTTCAGCCATATTTTTGTACATATAGAGACCCATGATTAATAATAAAACCACATATATTCAAATTTCTGCGAAACTGAGAGATGTCTAGACTAACTTCTCTTTTCCACCACTAACCCCTTATGTCAAAGTGTTTTATTAATCATTGCGATTTTCATAAAAACTTTCCATGTATGGGGAAATTATTTGAAATCGATTTTTTACGCCAAACACTGATGAGAGATTAACAATGTCACTGCGATCAATGGAACAGTAATGGGAAGGTAGATTCCTTAATGCTATGTGACTCTTTATAATAAACCTAAAGCACATTTTCAGGCATGATGTTCAATATTAGTCGCATTGAAATAGCCCTTCAATGTTAATGACAAAAGTAGTAGTCTTCGACTGATATTATATGAACTATATCAATGTGCCTGAAGGGTAGTCTTTGACTGATTTCAGGTTATTCTCATCAATATTGGTATATACTCGCCCATCCGCACAGAGCAACAAACTAGGAAAGGTATAGCGTGCACTACTAATTATTTGATTCTACATAACATTCTGATGCGCAGTATTTTTTTTTCCTTTGATTACGTGATCTCGTAGTTGGGGACAATCAAAAAGTTAAAACATAGTGTTGACGTGTTTGATCTCAACTTAGGCACCCATTGAACACAATGTACTACGCTTTTAGTACCCTTCAGGTAAGTTAGTTAATCTCGTTCTTCCAATATCTGTAAATATTATTATAATTGATTATACAGTACTAGAAAAAGGATGATAACTAATTAAGGTAGCTAGAGTACTAAATGGCGCTCCTTTGAATGAAATATTCTTAGTTCTGGTACATTAAAAATATTATCAATGTAATTCTAAGGTTATTGTCTGAAATACAATATATAGTTTGTCTGATAGTATTTTCACTCCATTGCGAAATGATGATAATTTCTGGTGCCACGCACCTTCTCAAAGAGGTGATTATCCCATCTGTTCATCTGTTTCTAGGTCCATTTGAATTCGAATAAAAGGTTCTGTAAACAAACTGCTGCCTAGCGAATAATAGCTCATGAATGTGAAATGTAACTAATAAGGTTGCTTGCCGAAACCTAGGGGTTTAGGCAAGATGGCGTTTCGCCGAAAAGCGAAATTCTGCCAAAACTATATTAAAGTTATATTAAAAAACTGGCGAAACTTTGGAGAAAGGCGAAACTGCCGAAACTTATTATAAATGCCGAAACTGCTGAAACTCTGCCGAAACTATAATAAATCTATAGTAAAATTTTGACGAAACTAATCGTAGGATTTTAAAGAGGTTTAGACAAGCAACTTTAGTAACTAAATATGATTTTATTTATGTAAAATATTGAAAAAATAAAACGGGTAAGATAATTACAGTCTCCTCTCGATATAATGAACCCTAGGTTTCAGCTGATCAGGGCTTCGTTATAAGCAACTTTGTTAACACTATAACGAATTATTCGGTATTGTATAACGAATTCTTCGGTATAGGAATATCGGTTATACAGATCATGTGACTTGTTGATCTGATTACCGATAATTTAACATTTTTTTTAATCTTTTTTTTATAGGGGTGCTTTCTAAACTTCAAAATAGATGCCTAGAATG